ACACACACACACACACACACACACACACACACACACACACACACAGAGTAACCCTGGAAATGGAAATTACAAGTCAAAGGTAAACATCTGGCCAAAGCAAAATCACATATAACTGGTTGTAGAAAAAAATCAAATTATATACAATGTGCTACTTCAATTAAAAAAAAAGTCATTCTGGTGTTGTATCTAGGAAATTGCCTTGTGGTATCTATAAACAGCAGGTCCAAGGAGTAGGAGGCCCAGGATGCTAAGGATGACAAATGGGTCTTGATGTTGGATTCCAGATGCTCCATATGTTGGATCCTGCAAGTGATACATGGCAGGATTGGTCCACCCCCCAGAGGAGAATAAAGTTGTTCAGGCCTGAGAAAGACAACTTGTGGACATTGTGCAGACATGTTCCTATTTGGGTTGATTTCAGAAAGATACTCTAGATCATATTTTCCCCTTCTGAAAGATGTTAAATAGAAGTTGGGTTTGCTTTGTTCCTTCAAAAAATTGTAATAAGCTTCAAAATTTTATTTCACAGGTAGGTTTTTCTACAAAATTTTTTTTACCACTGATAATTTGAATGGTTGGCATTTTTTTGTGTTAGAACTCAGGAGAGGAATGAGTATTTGGGGATTACTAGTCCCCAGAAAAAGTGTTTCTGAACAAAATCATTGTGGCTTGGAACGGTTCTTTTTTCTGAGTCAATGGGAAGAACGCATCACTGGACTCTTGCCTGTTAAAACATAGGATGGTGGCAATCCTCAAGGGCAGGTACTGTGCCCATGAAATGGTCCTGAACAGGCCCTGGTGTGAAGCTACATGCATTGGGACATTTAACAAGGCTTGTTAGAGGAGAAGAGAGCAGCAGTTCCTATGCGAAGGAGATACTCACCTGCTGAGGGTGACCTCCAGGTTACCAAGGACAGAGCTTCTCAACCATGTGCCACAGCATTCTTGTAGTTGTCTTCCAGCAGCCAGGGACGGCCTACCATGGCCAGAATCCCTAGGCCTAGCATCTGCTCACTGTGCCATGCCACAAGAGAACTACTTTCTATGTGTGTCTGATGGGGGAGGAAACACTTATTGGATGCTTATTGTGAACAAAATTTACCCTTGGGTTTTAGAAGGTCCAACCCCACCTCCAAGCAACTTAGGAATTCATGGTCAAATGGAGCAGGCTGAGGAAACATCTAGTGACCAGAACAAGTCATATCAAGCCAGATCTCCATCTTCAATGGCCTGCTTGCTTCTCTGTTATTAACTGAGTTCTTCCAGCCACTCCTGTAGGACTTCTGGATTTCCGGTTGGTTAGTCGTACATGGCCAGCCATGATTATCGCCATTTATAAACGTGTACTCTTTTAGCCAAGCAATACTGGAAATGATCAGTCCCAAACCCTACACGTGACTCAGCTGTAACTTTTGCCAACCTATGAGAGCCTCTTCACCTCTAGTTTAATATTTATCAAGTATTTAACATTTACCATAAGATATATTTTTTGTAATTTCCTAATCTGGAAGTGCCAGTAACTTTGTTTGTTATAACATTCAGAAATTAAAATTTGTAGGATAAACATCCTTCACTAATTTATTCAACAAACTCTTCTGAGTATACCAGATATGCGATAGGTGCTGGAGCTGCCAAAGGAAATCAGTAGAATATTGGTTGTCAAGGATCTCACCACCCTGTACAGGTAACAGTCAAGAGCACATAATTAACTCCCAGCTAGGTAAGAATCAATGCAAGTAGGTGTAAAATGCCATGGCCCCTAAGGATAAGGAGCTACCCTGCCTGTAGCAGAGAGGCCCAGTACCATCAGAGGGAGGTGTCCTCCCTAAGGAGATACCTAATGTGTGAGCACTGCCAAGCTATTTTCCAGAGCATTATCTCACTTTATCACAAGAGAAAGAAATGGTAGGTATCCCTCTGAGATATCTGTCATTATTTAACAGGTTGGATTTTCAAGGTCAGCCCTACAGGGTCTGAAAGAATCTCATTCCTGCAATTTAGGAAACTGTCAATGACGTTATATGACTTACAAATCATGAGATTCCTGAGAATTTTTTTCCAAAGGAAGGGATAAATTGCTATCACCTTCCCCTTCACTCTAATGGTTTCTCCAGCCTTGGGAAGTTTCTTGTTCTATCTCCAATCTTCTTTGTAGCATCTGTTCCCACTTCTCATTCTCAACTCTTGCACTACACAGCTCGTTTCAGCCTCCCTGGGTGGTCAGTAGTCCAGCACTTCCATATTGCCCAGGTGAAAAAAGGGCTTCTGGGTTTTGTGTCTGTGTGTGTGTGTGCGCGCGCGCGTGTGCACGTGCACGCGGGCGCACGCGCACGGGGCTGAGCCATCAGCTCTAGAGACATAATAACATATGGCTTTGGATCTCTTTCCTGGGCTCTTAGCACGCACAGAATCTGGGCTGCTAAATGTGAAGAACCAGAGCATAGAGACTGGACCACTGGCCTTCTGCAGTCATCTGTAGATAGTTAGGCTTGGCCTTACCAGCAGTCTCTTTACTGGTCCACACAGAGACCTCCATCAGCAAGCCCAAGCCTCTCTACCTCTGTTTCTATGACAAACTCCTAGGCAAAAAGAAAAAAAAATCCAAGGTATATCCTAACAACCAACAACTTCTTTTCATACAGCCAGTAGTTTCAGATAAATAATGTCTTGAATTGTTACACTGACCCTCTCTGTATGTATGAAAAATAACACAGGTTAGTAAATGCCATTTGGCGTGGCCTCTGACCCGGTCCCAGGCTAAAGGGAAAGTCCCTTTCTTGACCTCACAGGCCAGCGTTGCACAGTACAGCGCATCCCTGGGATGGAAAGACCAGCAATTGAGAATTGAGAGATCCAATGCAGTTCATGACTTTGCTGTGATTAATGAGCCGTGTGTCTTGGTGAGTTGATCTCTCTAGACTAGGAAGGTGGACTGTGATCCTGAAGCTTCCATCCTGTTTTGAGTTTATGATGACAAGGTCAATACAGATCGGTCAATATGGTGGCTCTGATGACCGGCACTTGGCATGGGAGGATCAAGAAGCAATGATTCTACACGGGTGCCTTTCTGGCCCAACAGATGTGCACTAAGAGTTGGTACTATAGGCAAGCACCCTACTGTGCCAGGTGGTGTAAGGTCACTCCATCCACTTTTGTACCGCCTGAACACTGGCTGCAGGGGTGTTTCAGAGCAAGCTGACATTCCAGGTGTCTCCGCAGTACAGAGATGAGAAGCACTTCCTGGCCTTGGGAGTCATAGCTCAATGCTGACCCATGGCCAGGATGCTAAAACAGGAGCTACTTCTCTATTTGAGCCAAAGGGAAGGGACATGGTCGTGAAAGTGTAGACAAGACCTCTTTCCTTGCTAGTACCTGCCCCGGCGTCTCTCAGGTTGTTGGTCCTGCTGTATTCTGAGCTTTGTTTAAGTTGTCTCTACATAAGAAAGTGAGATCTAGACCAGTATTTTCAAACTTTAATGTGCACACACATCATCAGGAGATCTTGATAAAAGGCATGTTTTAGTTCAGAAGATTTAAGGTGATGCCTGAGATTCTGGATTATTCCTAGCAAGCTCCCTTGCGACATCCATGAAGTTGGTCCATTCACCAGAGTGAGTACCAAAGATGCAGAGAAAAGGACCGGAAGCTACAGGACTAGCTTGCTATGTGTAGGAAGCTACAGAAATTATTCTGAACCTCAGTTTTCCATCTCTGCCAATAATAATGCCCATTTCAAGGAACCATTGAAAAGGCCAAGTGAATTAACTAGGAAGTGTCCGAATGTAATAATGTAGAGGTTTTCCACTATTCCAAGCATCCACTTGACCATATGACTCTAGTGTGCACCCAAACCCCAGGCAGAGCACATTTAACCTGCATACCTTAGGGATCATCAAATACTCTAATTAGCAGACCTTGGGTGAGTGTAGGAGCATGCACTTGCACAAACCTACCAGGGGATTCCATGCTGTCTATTGTCAATACAGATTCGATTCCGTCATTCAAGGCCTGGGATTCTGCATTTCTAACAAGCTCCCAGATGATGCTTAGGCCACTCCAGGGACCAGACTGAGTAGCAAAGATCTATATCAATACTTCTTAGCCCAAGCTGCCTGTTAGAGCCAGCTTTTCAATACCATGGGTGTTAAAAACTTTAATATTTTTCACTGGTGTGGGGTAGTGCTCAGGCATTTTTTTAAGCATCCAGGTAATCTAATATGCAACCAGCTTTGAAATTCTACCTGAGGTGAGTCCAAGGCACTGAATGGAGTGTAGTTACTGGGCAGTCAGCTGGGGTCCACCTATTCCTGCTGGTCCAAGGTATGATTAAATAGGTCTAACGCTGGCGCCTCCATCTCTTGATCCCAATGTATCTTAAGTTCCCGTGGGAAGAGGAAGTGGAATTGCAATAAGAGAAATGGAGCTGCAGGGTGTTTTGTGCAGACTGATGCAGACGGTTTGGGGAGATAGTTCAGTGGCAGCATGTCTAGCATGCACGAGGCCCTGGGTTTGATCCCCAGTACTGCAAAAAACTAGTGCTCCAGCATCAGGCTGCACCACTCTGTCCTTTCCAGCTTCTGGGTGTGATTCTTCCCAGCTCTCTGCTTGGCTCTCAGGGGTATGTTCCCCAGGTGGGACACTGATTTGTCTCTTCTTGCCCCTGACTAGGTGGCGGTAGGAAGCAGCCACCAGTGGCAGGCCCAAAGTCTGAGGAGGGTTCTGAGGCTGTACTCCCCAGGCACAGGAGTGTGTTCCATATCGAGTGGCCGTCCATAAGGAGAAGAAGCAACGGTGTGCATATCCTCTTTGTCATGCTCGGTCCCTGGCTTCCTAGTCTCTAAAAAAAATAGAGACAACAGTTCCTCCTTGGGAACTGTGGTGGGAAGACCTTTGAGGGTTAGTGTCTTCTGCTCATACATGACCACTGACTAAACCCACAGTTTCTCGGACACACCTGTTGATGGAGGTAGGCAAGCTGGACAGGCAGTGGGCCAGGGAGGTCTCAATTTGGCTGCACGTGGGAATTACCTGCAACACAGTCTCAAAGACTAATTCATCTGGTGAGTAGCTTTCAAGATCATTTGGAGCTCTTCATGAGATTCTAATCCTCGAAGTCATGCCTATAATCCCAGCACTTAGGTGACTGAGGCAAGAGGATCACTAAATTTAAGGCTAGACTAGGCTACATATAGCGACTCTGTCTCAAAATAATAAAGTAAAAACATTGATCTAAGAGGGTAGAAAAGAAAAGGTCTCACCTAAGACAATGTGGAGGCACCTAGGCCAAGGGAACAGGTAGAGAAGAATGCTGGGGAGAGGACCCCCAAAGGCCAGTAGGAAACCCAAAGGACTGTCAAAGCTGAGCAGGCAAGGAAGCCAGAAACTTTAATTTGGAAGCTGAGGTCAGGTTCTGGCAAACAGGAGGAATCTGAAGAGATCTTTCCAATCAACTGCAAGTTGTAGCAGCCTCATGAAGAGACAGGACAGAGGAGCAATGTAATTCCACCCCAACACCCAGAGAGTGGAACAGAACTTCCCAGAGTCACACAGCTAGTTAGAGGCACTGCAGGGTACAGAACTGACTCTGGGTGGGTCAGTGCCCCTCACAACATCACATGTCTCCCAGAAGATGCCTTGGTCTTCCTCCAATTTATATAATCTCATATTTCATGTGGAAAGTCAGCCATGGACCTGGAGTGGTTATAGGAAAACTTATAGGTAGAAAAGTCATTACAGGTACTCCAGGGCCCTTTGAGCCCTGGAGTTTGTCTTGGACAGGGGTGTGCAATGAATGGAAAAGCATGATTTGCCTGAAAAAGTCAACAACCTCCCTCCCAACATCTCTCATGGTAGTGAGTGGAGTGGAGTGAGGAAGGGCATTGTATAGCCCTGTGCAAAGGAGCCTGGGAGGTGGAAGTCAATGGGAATGGCTGAAGCCAGGCAGGCAGAGGGTGCTCCAGACAGAAGCCGTGTGTCAGTCAGAAGATCATACAAGCCTCAGTTAGAGGAAATCCTATCTGCTTCCTACTCTTATTTAAAAGTTTCCAAAATTAGTTACTCCTACATAGTGTAAATTCCCAATCACACTGATATTTGTATCTCATGATCCTTCAAAACTGGGAATCTGGTGTCTTTGGTGCATCCCTTCTAATGCTTAGACACCCTGAATATTCATGAATGTTGACAAGGAACAGCTAATTCAGTCTGAAAAACACAGTGTGGGCAGAGCCCGGTCTGCCATTCTCACACTTGACCACAGGAGGGAACCAGAGCACCAAGACCAAAACTTCCAATGCATAAACTTTCACAATGCATAAAACCCAAATGAAATTGGTCATCATTAAAAATAAGGCATCTGTAGTAATCAACTGGGCCTATGACCGGTAAAGGAATACAGAGGACTTTCAGCTACAAGACTCCATGGTTTTGTACTCCCTTGATGGAACAGGAAACACTGAATTACCTAATCCTAACCTTGCAAGAAATCACTGGTGAGGTGCCAGAATAGAGATCTCCCAACTGATGATTCTCCTTCCTTCTGTCTCCAGTGTTTGGAAAAGGCGAATACCAAGAGAGACAAACCAAAGAGCTATCCCCCTATCCATACCAGAAGTCCACAGTGGAGCTGCTTGTGAGTATCAAGTGGCCTGAGTCAGAGACAACATCTGCAGCCATAAACCCTCCAAATAGACTAGGGAGCTGAGATCCACCTACAAGGCTCTCAGATTTAGGCAAACTTTTCTTGCATTCATATTTTCAGAAATGTAATTATTTGAAAAAAGTTCTATTTTTCAATGTACTTTGTGAACTTTCATATTCCTTTTATTTTAATTATATATTATCACGTTTCCTCTAGATCAAGGATTTAGGAAGAAAACTCATGACAATCTTCAAAAAAGAAATGTTTATATGTTAAATTTCAGAGCTTCATGTTTATTTAAAATTTTAAAAACTAGACATGTTAGGGAGGAACAATTTCTCCTAGAAAGTGTGCAGTATTGTAAAAGTAATGAGTTTGAAAACAAAGTCTAGACATCTGTAGCTATCTTAATTCCACCATTTGACCTTGACCTTGGCAAAGCCCAACCTCTGCATGTCTGAGTCCTCATCCACAGAGGTGTCAATCTTGTTGTACCTCATAGTGATTGAATGAGGTGACATGTCAAACAAAAAAAAGGTTCTAATCTATGGAAACAGGGAGATGATTAAAAAGCAGTTAAACATAGTATCAAATGAAATCTTAGCTCAGTCCTCAAGGGACCACAAACATTACTTCTCAGTGTAAGAACCACAAAATATGGGATATTCTTGTCCATCTCTCATTTCTGAACAGGATCTGGACACCATGGAGGAGAACTCTGAGATCAAGATAGAAACCAACATATCCGAGATGTCCTGGATTCAAAGTTCCATGTCTGCCGGGAGGAAGAAGATCAGCAAAGCCCTCAGCTACATCACAGGAGAGATGAAGGAATGTGGAGAGAGTCTTAAAGGTACAGTTCCGTGAAAGCAGTCCCTTACCCACCCCTAGAAAGGTTGCCTCAGTGGTCCTCAGGACGCACATTGCCAGGGTTGTGCAACTTTGATTTCACTCTTTCCAGAACCAATTTGATGGTATCTGCTTTCTAACAACTTCTTTACTGGCTCTTCATCTGTATATGTGATATAACAAAATCCTCTTCTTTCATTTGTCTTTGTATTCATAGGAAGTTCAATATTTTCAATCTCTCAGCAGGCTCCAAAATATTCCTTAATCTGTCTTCAGAAGTATCTGGACTCAATCTACCCACAAAAAACCTTTTTAGGGAGTTCTTACCTTTTTAAAGCTTTGGCCCTTTGAGATCTATCAATTTGCTAATCCAGTTTGAGTTCTTTCAGTTCCAAACTCTCATCAACACTAGAAGCATCTTTGAAAATCACAAATACAAATCCTCTTGATCTTCCAGTGACTGAATCTGTTTTAACTACACAGTCTACAGCTTCCCCAAATAGAGACAAATATTCAGTCAGATCTTTCCTGCTTGAATCCCAGCTCAAGCCTCCAAGAAACATTTCACTGTCATTCTGCTGGTTCTTGCTCGAGTTGCTCTCGGCTCCCTCTGCAAGTCTCTCTATGTTGCTATACTTGTTCTCCATGGTGGTGGAGTTGTAGGCAAGGGGTGCTAGCACACGGTTCAGGTCACGACAGCAGCAATGGCGGGACATTGTTTAGAGCTAGATTTAAAATGGCCTCAGCACTTTTGATGCCCTCTATGCTTGGAGAGAATTTTCTGTAAAATTTATGCCACTGTTATGGGAGGCATAGATACCTCAGGGTACTTAATCCCCACTGTGAGAAAAACATCCTAGAGACTACATCTGACTGGCAATGGGCTTTCTAGGCAGTCAAATGCTCTCCTAGGCTTTCGTTCACCCTCTTCTGTGGCAGGTGACGGTAGGTAGCTGGCTCCCTGAAAACCCACTTGGATTTGCAGAGAGATTCCCTCATACTGTCCACCCCACTCCCCAGGTCTGGCCCAGGACTGTCTCACAGTGAGCATTTACTGACTTCCTGTCCTGTTCCATTTCAGACAAATCCCCAGTGTTCCAGTTTCTCGACTGGGTGCTCCGAGGCACATCTCAGGTGATGTTTGTGAACAATCCCCTCAGTGGCATCCTCATTATCATAGGCCTCTTCATCCAGAACCCCTGGTGGGCCATCTCAGGCTGCCTGGGTATCATTGTGTCCACCCTGACTGCCCTCATCTTGAGTCAGGACAGGTAAGTCCCCAGAGGCCCAGTCCAAACATAAGAGGACCATTCTCCCCATTTTCACCCTCTCCTTGGGTATTAGTAAGTTACTATTCCAGATTATTTTTCACAGAGAAATGTGTATGGCCAACAGGGCTGATCTGTTTCATCCCCACCTCCCAGAAGGGTAGCCCATTAGAAAGTGTGACATCAGGCCCCAGTGGAGAAAAACCTGTCTCTGAAGGAAAATTAAAAGCCAAGGGGATGCCTCCACTCCACCAGCCCCACTCCTGTCCCCCCAGGTCAGCCATCGCCGCAGGACTCCATGGATACAACGGGGTGCTCGTGGGGCTACTGATGGCTGTGTTCTCAGACAAGGGCGACTATTACTGGTGGCTTCTGCTCCCTGTCATTGTTATGTCCATGTCTTGGTAAGTTTGCTTCTGAGGTTGTGGGTTCAGATCAAAGGGCCACCATCTTTTTTACACTGACCCTGTGTCTGCCTGTCTAGGCTCCAGTTTAAAGCACAGTTTGTTTAGCTTGCACATTGGAAACATCCACTGGAAATAATTACTTATGTTACATGTCACAATGTTAGGTCATCTATATCCAGTATCTCATTGGTGCTATCCTGTTCTTCTTTGTTTAAGATCTAAAAGGGTTTCTGGCCTTACCCTGCCACAGCACTGAGCAAAAAACGAGGCCCACAAAAGTTAAGAGCCACACTAATAGGTCCTGTCAGTTTCTGGAAATCTCATCTGGCCTGCTCTCCTGGCTTTTCTCTATCCCCAGGACCCCTATCAGACTGAGACAAGCTCACAGAGCAGATTGAAGACCAGCCATATGACAGAGCCCTCAGAGCATGAGGCCCCTTCCCTCACTTCCAGAAAATGCAGGGCACTCTGGCCACAAGGCTGATGGGCTTGACCATTCAAAAAGCTTAATTTAGTGATGGTGATTCTCCCTCTCTGCTCTTCCAAACTGTTCTCGAAACTCCTGCCTTGGGATGGAGCTCTGTGACTCTTTGAGGAAGTTCCAAAAGTCCCAGGAAACCCTCCTTCTGGAGTTGAATAGGGGCCTCCTACCCTGTTGCTGAGGTCTGCATAGGAAAGAGGCCCAGGAAAGGCCTTCCTAAGGCTGGTTAGGCTTAGAAAAGACACCCAGCAAGCTGTTTTTTTCTAGGAAGGCTCAGGGCCCAAGCCACTATTGCCTAGTGTTGGGGTCAGGTAACTTCCTGACCAACATCTCTCATGCTTCTGTCATCAGCCCCATCCTCTCCAGTGCCCTGAGCACCATCTTCAGCAAGTGGGACCTGCCAGTCTTCACATTGCCATTCAACATTGCTGTGACCCTGTACCTGGCAGCCACAGGCCACTACAACCTCTTCTTCCCCACGACGCTGCTGCAACCTATATCCTCTGTGCCCAATCTCACTTGGTCAGAGGTCCAAGTACCCTTGGTAGGTATTTTGGAAGAAAGAAGGACAACATTTGTACAAACTCAATGTCAAAGTGGCATTTACTTCTTTTGCACACCAGAAACATCCACAGGTAGTAATTGTTAACAATTATACAGTACAAGAAATTCTACATACAAATCCATGAGCTACCACCATCCTTCATCCTTGTCTCCTTTTAAGAGCTAAGGCTATTTCTGCTCCCATCCTGTTATCACACAGAGGAAGAAATGGAAATCCCAAATTAGTGAAGAACAAAGCTAAGACCAGAACTCAGCTTCCTGACTCCAGACCTGGGGTCTTTGCTTGTTTTCTTTGTTCAAAAGTGTTTTTTTGATGCTTCACTCCAATTTCAATGCAACTTATGCTGTGTATTTTCTTTCATTCATTGAATGAATGAATTCACTGCATCCTTAAAGATGTGTGCATCATGCTACTTCGTTTTGGCTTAACAAGTCACCGTTGAATCCTCCAGAATTTACTCCATTCACTCTTTGAGGCTTACTCCTGTTTTAAAGCATAGATGTTCCTCCATTAAGGAGCAGAGCATTCAAACATTTTTAACAAGTATTTTGTATATAATACTGACCTCTGGAAGCTGGCCAAGATAATGAATAAGAAGTGACACTAGTAGCATCAAATTTACGTGAAGAGATGTGCATATTCACCTCCTTATCTAACTAGGCACATTTTCTCCTCCAAGGTCTCCTACCTTCCATTACAGTAAAGACCCCCCAGTCTGATGCTCACCCTGAAACTTTGTTATTGGAAACTCATCCTCAAGTCACTGGGCTTGTCAAAGGAACTTTCAGAAATAATGATGTCTAGTGTGTCAGCATTCTGCAGAATAGTCAGGAAAGCCATGAATAGGCACTAAGAGCATCACTATTTGGAGGGGGATATGTGTGTTAGACCACCCTTGTTGATTATTTTGTAAGTGTGAAGACCTTCATGGGCAAGAAAGTCCTCAGGCTTCCCATCCATGGTGTTTACACCACCCATGTCTTTTGGAGGCAAAATTGCTCTAATTGGTGTGTTTGTGAGGAGGTGATGTTAGAAATTGTAAGTTTCAAATCATTTCATTTTCAATTGAAAAACATATTTCAGAATTTTATAGAAATGAAAAAAAAAAGAAAACAATTATCCTATGCTAACACTTTAGAACCAAATCAAAAATTCAATTTTTTTGGTAGTGGATTGTGATAAGATTCCTGCATTGTATTTTCTTGATAATTAGAATTAGAGCCTTGAGTTTCTGGAAAACAAGTGGTGAATGTCAGGAAGAGAGGGTCTAAAACTTGCAACAATGCTGAGTGACACTCATTGGAGATGCTCCTCAGAGGGTACAACTAGATGGGGATGAAATGGCCCAGCGACACCACCTCCGTATAAAACTCTCACACCATCCCTTACATTTGCATGTCCATGCCAGAACCCTGTTCTCTTCTGTTCTCTGTCTTGGGGCAGTGGGCCAGGAAGACCGAACCTAAAGGGCAAGCCCACTAGGCTCATCCTCCTGTCTCCATATGCTCTGCGTTTTCATTCATGGACAGGCCTGCCAGACCCTGGGATGCATGGAGGACTAAAGCAAGCAGGGTGCTCTCCAGCTCAACCAAAAGAGCAGGTCCTGGACCATATGCCTTCTCCAGGCCCCTTGTGTGGATCCTGATCCAAAGACTGAGCCAGACAAGATTAGGGTAACCACAGCCAGAATGTGGCTTTTGGAAATACAAAAGACCATTTTCCCATCTAATATTTAGTCTTCTTGTCACCTTTTTAGCTTTAAAAATATAATAAGAGTTTTGATCAGAAATATATTACTTTTCTAATGAATAATAATAGACTCCTGAAAAAGTTTTCTGCTTCTCTCCAGGAATAGGGGATAAATGCCTTACACTCATGTTTCTGAATAAAGGAAATGTCACATCCTAACTGCTTAGTGTTCTCTGAACCCAGAGTTAAGATGACAAGGCTTTGCTCCTGTTACAGCCAACCTCTTTGAACAGAAATGTCTTAGAAACCTATTGTGAAATGTTAGCGTGCACTCAGGAGCCTGAGGCAGGAGAATGGAAGTTTCCAGGCCAGCCTGGAGTACACAGAAATACTCTGTTTCAAAAAAAAAAAAAAAAAGTTAGTGTGGGGGGTTTGGTGCCAAATTTTTTGACACCAAAGCTGAGATTTAAGATGTCTCTCCTGCCTTCGTAACAAGCATGTGATCCTTTTGTTTCTACAGCTTTTGAGAGCCATCCCTATTGGAATTGGACAAGTGTATGGCTGCGACAACCCCTGGACCGGAGGCATCTTCCTCATAGCTCTGCTCATAGCTTCACCTCTCATCTGCCTGCATGCAGCTATTGGATCCATCACAGGGATATTAGCAGGTCTGTGTTACCGTTTCCCCCACATTAATGGGCACTAGGGATATTAGTGCTTGGGGCCAGCTCCAAAGGAAATGATGACATGTGTCTTTAACGCTGCATCTGCTGGTTCCTGGAAACTTTCTCCTTCCATTGTACCTGTTTCTCCACTTTAGATGTTCAGGCCCTGTGCTCCTCTGAGCAAAAGTTGTCCTCAAAAAGACTGGTGTTAGCCACTTACACCTTAATATAAATTTAAAGTTTGGGAGAGGTTTCTTCCAAACATATTCATATTTTAAGTCTTATCTCCAATGACAAAAAGAAGGATTTGTGTGCAGAAGGATTTATGGGGGAGGGGGTAGAGGAAGCACATGGTCTGTTTAAGTCAGACCCCAAAGTTCTTACTCAAAGGATCTCCTTAACTCATACCAGCTTAGCCAGTAAAATTCATATGGCTCAATGTATTTATTTCCTTTAGGTGTATTTTCATTGAATAAAATCAGAAGTCTTTTTTATATCTAAATACCTAAGAGGGACCGGAGGTGTAGCTCAAGTGGTAGAGCACTTGCATTGCGAGCCCAAGGACCTGAGTTCAAAACACCAGTCCTACCAAAAAAAAAAATCTTAATTAGCTGAATACCTAAGAGGATGGCTGATTGTGAACTTTGAGAACTGTTGCAGATTCCAGGGAGGCAGAACAGACTCCTACTCAACACTGACACCTGCCTTCTTCTCTCCCAGCACTCAGCATTGCCACACCCTTTGACTCCATCTACTTTGGCCTGTGTGGCTTCAACAGCACTCTTGCATGCATCGCCATTGGAGGCATGTTCTACGTCATCACCTGGCAGACGCACCTCCTGGCCATCGCCTGTGGTAGGTACCACCAACAGGATCCCCCTTCGACCTCAGACAATGCAAACAAAGTGCACTGTGACAATTCTGCCACTCCCCCAATAAAGGGGAGGGGAGATTGTTTGCTTTATAAAAGGCTTTTTGCTAACAGTGTCTTCAATGGTTATTTAGGGAACTGTTTTCACTGCATACATAGGGGCAAGCTGCATCTGCTCCAGACATTTCTAGCTGATGGTTGTTTCACTGTTGCTCATAGACTGTCCTCTATGATTGCTGCTTTCCTCGCTGGAGATTGGAGCTGGCAGAGCAACTCGTAACAAGTTAATCCTTACATGTAGAATTGGGCAATTTACATCATATAAAACAATACAACTTAAACATCCTGACATTGACCATAGACCCTTCAGATGGTCCCTCTTGTCTGCATATTTGTCCAGAGTCCCAGGAAATTAGATTGACTCTAACAATTTGACATATTTCTGTATGTTTGTCCTTAAATTCCCTTTATTTCTTCATGTTATCTGAATGGAAACCAAATAAAACTTGTTTGTACCAAGACATTTAAAACAGAGATTCTATTTCAGCACAGCCATATATTATAAAACATTATCAACATAAACTTTTTAAAAATTAGTTTGCAATGAAAAAAATTCTGAAATGTTCTCTGCTAATTTAGACATTCTGGATGAGATATGTTTGTGTCCTTTACATAACTGAAAGATACATTTTTGTTTTCATCTTATGACAGCCACTACAAAGAAGGAGAAAACAAATTCTAAACTATTTGAAGGGAAATTTTGCTGTCTTTTTCTTTCTTTCTTTCTAAAATTATTTTCTGCTGGCCCAGGAATCTCAAAGTAAGGCCAGCACATTGTAGTTACTTAATAAGTAGTGGTTGTCATATCGATCAATGAAAGGTAGACATTTGCCTAGCACCTCTTACAGAGTAGGCACTTCAAACACCTATGCCCCAGAACACCACCTCCCCAAGCCTTTTCCAGTTTGCAAAAGAGGGGGAAAAAATGTGTCAAAGATTAAAGCTAGGACTAGCTTGAGACTAGCGAGGCAACTCAGATGCAAAATTTAAGGAGGTCACGCAGGAGATGACCCTGACCCTCAGGTGGGAACGACCTTACACTTGCACCCCAGTTGCCTCCCTCACCTCCCCCTAGTCCCAACCTTGTCAAAGAGGCAAGGTGGTTCGCCTGTGCCTGTCAGATGTGTGACCCCAGTGGTCTCAAACAGGGTGATTTCTCCATTCCCCAGGAACATTTAGCAATGTCTAGAGACATTTTAATTTGTTGCATGCAGGAGATGCTCCTGGCATCTGGTGGGGAGGGGCCAGAGGTGCTGCTAAACATCTTACAATGCACAGGACAGTCCCACAGCAAAGAATGTGGCTGGATCTGTGAGACCTGCTAGATGGCATCTCATCGATTCCTCACTGCAACCCTATCAAGTCTGTAGGTACTTTTGCTGTCCCATTTCCCATGTGCGGAATGGAAGGCTAATGGAAGCAAAATTAATTGCCCAGAGCCAGGTCTGTACCATCTGTGCTCTTTACAGGGCACTACGCTTCTTCCTGAAGCCAGTTCTTCCTCAACAGATGAAAATGTCCAGAGTTGCTGGGTCCTATTCCACAGTCACACAGCCAAGACTAGGGACAAGACTGGCTCCTGGTCTACACATCCCCAAGACAAGCATTTCCCTCTGCAGCCCCCAACAAACTGCATGTCCTGTTTCCTTCTCTTCTATCTATTCTGCCTCTTCTCTCAAAACTGCAGGCCCAGCAATCAAACATGAACACCCATAGGTTTTTAGAGTCATTTCCCATTGGTAATAGGCCAAATTGATACAATATCAATGAGATCAAGGATTCTGGAAATGAGTCCTTTGACTCTGGACCCCAGGGACAAGGCAGGAGTTGGATAGAGTTGGGCTCAGCATAGTCTGCTCCCCAAGCCTCCACTCCTCACAGGCCCCACTTGGGCCTTCTGGCTCTCCTAAATTCTGGGAGTTTTGTGGCACTTGGGTTGGCCCCTTCAACTACCCCCACACACACCTTTCTAACCGCAGGCTTGAGAGGCTGTAGCATTTAGTGGTTAAGGACCCACTCCTGGTGCTAGACGACCGGCTATGTCGCTTGTCAGCCACATACCCTGGATAAGTCACTGCAACTCTCAATGGCTGATATTAACAGTGCCAACTTGGTAAAGCTGTTGTCAGGCTCAAAAAAGAGATAATGCCTGACACCTAGCATATCAGGAAGTGTCAGCCCCTGTTATCTGTAGTCAAAGAACACATGCTAGTGAACAAAGATGCAGCTGATGCAGAGTGGGCTCCTGTTCTCTCGGACAGAAATAAGCTGTCAGGGACCCTACACCTCACTTCATATAACCCACTCCTGAATCTTCTTTTGTCTTCCATCTTGAATTCCTACCTCTAAAACAATGAGACTTCTCCCACTCATAGCCAGGAAGAACAATGTTAATTAACCTGTCTCAGCCTCAGTTTTCTTACCTCTGAAATAAAGACAATAATGATGCTTACATTGTAGTAATGGCGAAGGGTACAGTCAGTATTACTACCAGCTGGGCACACAGTAACTCCCTAATAAAGGTTAGCTATTGTTAGTATACCATGGACAATTGGAATGCTCTCTGTTGAGAAATTAAGGGCCCAGAAGCAAAGCTGAATTATCCTGGCCCATTTTCATCACCTCTTGCCTCTCGCCAGTGCTTGGCTCTTTCCAGTGGTCAGCCTGGCCATGCCCTCCTCCACTCAGCCTAGAAGACATGGCAGTAGGCATATTTGGTCTTCCTTGAGCTTACAGGATGCTGTTTCTCCCGGGAAACCCATATTATGTTAATACCTTGTGATGAAATATTCCAGCAGGGACTTCTGGGACTCACTTGCCTTTGCTGTATAGTAAAATTTTCATTTATGGTTTATGCTGTTAAATGTTCCTTTACTGGAATGCAAGGTGGTGAGACCCAAGAGAACTGTAACAGCTAAATTCTGGCCCTTTTTAACAAAGTTCATCTGCTGCCTTCACTGTGCCAGCATTTGCGTAGAAATTAACACCTTTAAAGATGCCAAGCAATGGGAATGTAACTTAGTTTTTTTCTTTCTTTTTTTCAATCTAAGAGATAGCATTTGTGGCATAAAATTAATGAAGAGAGAACATGTAGACTAAGCTTGAGATACTGTTAAATTGTTACTGAACTATTTATGGTTGGTTCTTCTTCCAGCTCTGTTTGCAGCCTACCTGGGTGCCGCCCTAGCCAACATGTTGTCTGTGGTGAGTCAGTGTGGCTACAAATGTGCCCACATGCCCCCTTTCTGCTTCCCATTGACGGGTTCCTCCCGGACCCCTTTCCAACTTCCACCTATTCTTTTCTCAAATCATATTACTCTTCTTAGCACTTCTAGGAAGAAGTGGGCCCTGAATCTCAAATGCCAACTGTGGGGTCTGGGGACATAGCTCAAAAGTTGCTTGTTTGCCTAGCCTGCATGACACTTTGGGTTTGATTCCCAGTACTGAAAAAAAAATAATAATGTCAACAGCAGGTCAATTGAATCCCATGTCAGTGACCAGTGGAGCTCTTTATAAGGCAATCTTTTAAGTCTACTCCTTTCTATTGTACCATCCTCAGAACTATTTTTAATCTTTGTTATTGTGTGTGCTTATGGATCATCTGCTCACCTGGCTTTATGGGCTAATATCCATCTTTGTTCCATAGCAACTAGCATATTTCATGGAGATGGCAGTCACTATCAAAGGCTTCAGGGAACAGGAAAGGTCAAACCCTAGCCAGTCAGAGAGAAGTCTGAGCTAGTGGCTTGGGGACCCACACAGCAGATCGAGAAATCTTTCTTCGTGTGGGCCCCAGTGTAGGGTGATGTGCAAGGTCAGAAACAGCCACCTGACCAGCCAAGGCCCAGTACACAGTGCGCAGAAGTCAGATTGCAGTCAGTGCCTCCCCCTCTTAGATAAAGGTACAAAAGAAACCTCACATGGATAAGCAGGAAAAGTCCTGTTGATCCTGTGGGTGGATGATGTGGACACTCCACTCACACCCGTCTAAATTCCTCCATTATCTCTAGGGAAAATGGGTAGTTTGGACTTAACATAAGAAGGTGTTTTCTAAGCAGTAAAATTAGCCTTCCCTGATGCCATCCTGTGTCCCCCAGTGGACAAAGTCCCTCCCCTGTTACATCACATGTTGTGCACACCTGGGCTACAACACTTAATGCATAGGCCTGTGATGAGTCTAGTACTTGTCAGTACTCCTCTGGCTTTGGATTAAGTGTTCCTCCAGAACAGAGGCCTGGCATCTTCTTATTGCCATCTCTAGTACCTATTATAGTGCCCAGTGCATAGTAAGTGCTCAAGAAATAATGAATGAACAAAGCCCTAAGGTAGTGAGCATCCAGAGCTGGGGCTGAGCAGCCAGCTATCAGAAGCACTGAAAGGTGTAAGAACATGGAGTATGATCTCTGAGACTCCCATCCACCCCAGGCTTTGCTACTTGTTTTGGCGCCATCCATTATTCTTCTGATCAGCCAGCAACACGTGTCACATGCCACCCTCTGACAAGGCACTGGAATTGATACAAAGCAGCAAGCTTTGGTTTCTGACTGGTCCTTTCTTCTGTGTGTGGAGAAGTTACAAGTGATACTACTCAGTTTAGACATTTTTCAAAATAAAATCAAGTTTACTTCCTATGTACCTGCTGTGATGTTACACTGACCACTATCAAGAAAGTGCAGGCAAAAAAAAAAAAAGTGGGGGTGGCAGGCTATTAACTTACCCCAAAAGAATTTCCAATCTCATTGAGGAACAGAATATAAAATTGCTAAGGTACATTTACGAGACCATTCAAGCCTTCCTTAAAAGAATACTCCAGAGCCATACTCTTTGGCTCTCTAACTGGCACACGTATGTGCAGCCTCAGATCCTCGACAAGGCCACCATCTGCTTGATGACAATGGCCACATCCCGAGGATAATTTGTTGAGTATTTAGTATACACTAAGCACCAACTCTGTATAGGTATTATTACCCCTGGTTTGCTATTGAGGAAATTGGTCTCAGAAAGATGAGATGCTGATAATAAAGTGATCAGAGCTGAGATATGGATGGGGGTCTGTGGAACTCCCACATCCTTTCCACTGTGGGACCCCACAGAGCACCTTGTGCAGTCTTAGTGGGGCTTTGGAAAGACTCACTGAGTCTAAAGACTGTGAAGTCATCTCTCATAGGTAGTCCTTGCAACCTCAATTCAGGTACTGTTCTTGTTTCTCCCTAAGTCCCATCCAAAAGTACCATCTTTGGAATGAACACATGTGCAGTGTCATTGCTCCCATGGTACTACCTGACGATTTTACTGCTCATAGTAAATGATGTTTAAGGAAGAAGGAGGATGATTTGAACTGCTTCATAGTTAATTTGTAGGCTCTTTGTTTACAAACTATCCACTCGAGCTATCTCAGACGAAGAGTGGAGAAGAGTGTTGAAATGTCCCCAGCCATCTCAAGAAATTCAAAACAACTCGACCGGATAAGAAAGGACTGTGGGGATGGGAGAGCCTTTAAGAAGAGAGGCAGGTACTCTTCACTTTCAGCTCCAGGAACAAGGAAGTCACTCCTCTGCCTCCCTACCTGTCTGCTCATTTCCTGAGTCTCTCTGTAAAGGGTTTCTGCTCATGCAGCTTTGAAATAAGTGCCATCACTCTGTGGTTCGCCAGTCCTCTCAGTTCAAGAGCAAGAGAGACACGGTCTCTGTATCTTTAATCCCTCTCCAAAAGAAGGATTCTATTGGGCCAAGTCAGGAGTCTATGGGACGGTGTATTTGGCTCAAGTGCCTACCTCTAGTTCAGTCAGCTGTAGCCAGAGAAAAATGTCTTGAGCTCCAAAACGGCTGCCAAAGGAATTCCTTCAACAGGGGCTGACGGAAAAAAGACATAGAATAACCATAGTTCCAAGAGTTGGAAGAGTACCTCAGTCAGATTCCCCAAGACAAAGCGCATCTTCTACATAGAGACATGTTAACCCTTATTAGGGTTCCAGTGGCTACATTTTGAAGAGTGTGTATTCACCTGTTACAATGCAGAGTGAGGCCACTGGTGTGGTTTTATTTATACTGGCTTCCAATCAAGCATTATCCTTATCAATGTACACACAGCATCCCTTCCTCTCCCCAGGACTAGAGGTGATTAATAAGGGTTAATTAAACAAGCTTTAGCATTTCATGTAACTGAGTCACCTCTTGTGTCCCCTCCCACTAGTTTGGATTACCACCGTGTACCTGGCCCTTCTGCCTCTCAGCGCTCATCTTCCTGCTCCTGTCAACCAACAACCCCACCATCTACAAGCTCCCGCTCAGCAAAGTCACCTACCCAGAGGCCAACCGCATCTACTACCTTTCCCAGGAGAGAAACAGGAGGGCACCAACCATAACAAAGTACCAGGCTTATGATGTCTCCTAGGTTGCCCGTTCCAAAACATGTCACTACTTTCAGCAGGTAGACTGGGTTCCCCAGCTAAAGGCCACTTAACCCCGCCTTCTGTCTGTTCTGTGAGTCTTCCCTCAAGCACAGGGAAATGTGTGTATGGTCACCGCTCAGGGTCCTCTCTAAGATGCACAATACTTATCAAAGCTATGTTAGTTTCAACTTAATACCTACAACTGGCTCTATAAAAGTTCCCTTTGAAGGGAATATGCTGGTCACCCATCTCAGTCATTTAATACGGCAAAGCACAGTATCAAGAATGTTCATTAGCCTGGAAGCCAAAAGATCTGCTCCCAGTTCCATCTGTCTCAGGCAAACCTTCCCCATCTCAGCCTTGATTCCTTATTGGCAGGGATTTCTTTATGACAGGGAGGGTCTCCAAAGTCCCTTCTACCTCAGAAGTGTTGATTCTTCTCTGTCTCCTGTATCCTGATCAAATCAGCATGCCCTGCAAGTAACTGCCAAGTTGAGAAATAGATGGAAGGGTTACCCAGAGAAGAGGCAGGAAAATTCTGGTGTTCTGCAGAGGTTTATTCTTGGGTCGTAGAAGAGACTCTCCAGATTTGGAGTTAGCTACCTAAACTTACTGAAAGTGCCAGCGTGCCTTCCTTTACAGAACAGAAATATTTCCAGAAATGTCACAAGACAAAAAGTGATCTTTTTCAACATCCAATTCATGCTGTAAATAGATGTCTTTCTTTTTGTAATGGTCATAAGCACACTCTCATTAAACTGTTTAAATTTGCGTGTTGGTATCAGAGTTTTCTTGAAATAGGGCTCACCGGCATACTTGCATACTGTGTACTTGAGGGTTTTTTCCACAGCCAAACGTGTGTCTGGAGAGAGACGGGGATGGGTTAAGAATTATCAGAGGAGAGCTTGATAAGAAGAGGAGGACCATGGACATTGATTTCTGTTGTTGGAGAGCAGATTACAAACACCAAGATCACTTCTTTTTCAATACAGGGATTTGAACCAGGGCTTTGCACTTATGAGGCAGCTACTCCATGCCAAGATCACTTTTTAGTGCATAGTCTTTCAGTTTTGTGTGCCAAGATTATGAATCCAGCCCCTCTTGAAGAGCCAGTAAGTTTTGTTATTTAGTCACTCCAGGTATAGCTCCTATTGGGCTCCTAAAATAACAGGTCATCTTTATGGGAAGCCAGGTGGGCTGGGCATCTTCTCATCCCTTCCCCAAAGGAGGATGAACCTCTTCTAGATAGAGTGAGACTCCTGACATCCACACTTCCTATGCAGCAGGATGGATGGATGAAATAAGAAAGGAGGGGCAGGAAGCAAGGGGGAGGAACCAGATACAAACTGCAGCTTTAAGGAAGAATTACATTTTACCAAAATCCATCCATTAGAAAAGCTGGTTTCTATATTTATGTTTTTATTTCTCTCTCAGTCCTCAGATCCTAGCCATCTTTCTTCAGCCCAAGAGCACTGGACTATACGTTTCTCTTTCAGATCCTGCTATCCAGTACATTGTGACTTCTCCAGGAAACTGGAGAACATCTCCATGTAAACAAATCTTCCATGTAGGAAAGGGGAGTGACTCACACTCCAGAGCCACCTCTGAGTTTGTGATCACACCTTGAGGCCAAGAAGGTCTCTGGCTATATTTTAATGACTGTAAAAATATGACTCTCTGAGGACCAAGCATCTAGGAATTCGACCAGAGGCTGTTTATGCTTAGAGCTCTCTCAGCTGCCCCCAGAACCTCCAAGTGATGACATAGAACTATTAAAGTATAGCTCTTGTGCATTTTCCACCAAAGTCTTATAATCTTGTTTTATTAAAAGCAGAAAATGCTCCACGTGCATGCAATTCTGATTATTGACCACTAATAAAAA